AAAAAAAAAAAAAAAGAAAGGAAATAATAAATAACACATACATGCATGCAAGCATGCATAGAGGGTTCTCCGGGAAATGAACTGGGCCCTCATTTGGCTACTGTACTCCTAATACATACTTAGTGCTAAAGGCACATTCAAGCCATGTTAACTCCATCCAGCCAGAACACAGACAAGCAGTTAACTTTTCAACTGAGAAACCATCAAAACTTACCAACAGCTGGGGTAGAACACGAAGCATTTTCTCCTGGCCTAGGTCAGACAGGGTTGCCGACTTGAGGCCCCATCACCGCTAAATACCTGACTCCGTATTTTGCATGAATGGGGTTCTCTCCTCCTCAATCACTGGCTCATGAAATGGACACGGATGCACTACCACCATCTAGTCCTCAGACCCTCTCAGGTTTCCCCACTTGTCCCCATGAAGTCCTTAACACCAGGCGGAAGTCACCCTTGGCATTCTGTCAGCACATCTCCTCGGGCTTTCCTGGACTTTCGCATACTTTCCGCTGGTGAAGAGTACAAGCCAGGTAACCTGCAGAATGCCCTTCAATGTGCCTTTGTCTGATTAGCTTCCGATCATGCAACTTCAGCAGGAAAGTACAGATATGACCGTATCCGGTGCATATTTCCGGGTGCAGAATTCTGATTTGTTCCATTACCTGTGATGTTCACTTTGACCACTGGATTAAGGGGGTGTCTGCCAGGATTCTCATGGGAAGTTACTCTTTTGTCCTCTGTAATTAGTAAATACTTTTGTGGGGAGCCTTTTTTTTTTCCTTTTTTAAGTAATCTCTACACCCAGTGTGGAGCTCGAACTCACAATCCCAAGATGAAGAATCACTCCCTCTTCTGACTAAACCAGTCAGGAGCCCTGTGGGGAGCTACTTTGAAACTATGTCAGATACTTTCTCTTCATCAGCTTTCAATATTTTTTATATCAGTGAGAACTCATGGTCTCCCATTTCATTCAATGCTCTATAAGCCATTACTATAGTTTATTCTGAAGCTTAAACTGTCCCTAGTTTAACCAGGGGAAGCCCACTCAAGCTGCTCCCGTGTCCCCCCGACAGACCCCTTTCATTCTTTGGACACTTCCTTCCTTGCTGGCCCAAAAGGATCTTGTACCTTCCTGTCCCAGCTCTGGACTCTGACATTTCTCCTCAAGAGCCTGGTTCCTTTTAGTGGAGAATGGTATTTAGAAGCCTAGATGTGGGTGCCAAGTGTGCTCAGAGGTAAGAAAGATAGGAATGTGGACGTGGGTGTGCATGTGTACGTATATAAATATGACATAAACACGTGCACAGACACACAGGCAGGGAGCTGGCTACCTACCTAACTAGCCAGTGAAAACCATGCATTTAACCAATAGCTCCAACTTCAGGGTTCATTCTCATTTTCTTCTCTTTCTCCTCCACTAACTCTCTTTTCCAAGAGTGAGAACCTAGGCATTCATCACCTTTAATATAGTTACCTACTTATCCATCTGTCTATATGCACTCAACCTCCCATCTCGGCTGCTCTGCCCTTCTTACCTGCTGAGGCTGCACCCTGATGCTGGGTTCAGGGAGTATTACTGTTTTAGGACAAGGATATTATAAAAACCTATCAATCTTAGAATTGACAGCTCTCAGCAAATTCTTGTTTTATGCTACTCCTGCTTTACATAAGCCTCCCTGCCTGTGTGTACTGAATAAAATGAATCACTGATAACACAGGAATACCTACTATGGGCCAGACTGTGTCTGACACACTGTTACAACGAATACACAGAAGGACCCCATGTGGCAGACACTGCCTTTCTCCCTGTTTTACAGACGAGGAGAGTGAAACACAAGGAGGTTAAGCAACTTGCCTAAGATCACAAAGTGGGATTCAAACCCAAAGCCATCGGAGTCGAGAGTCTCCCTCACTACTAGCCTCCAAATGAATGCCTGAGATGAGATGAGCACGTAATTGACGGCGGGTGAGCAGTTAACGGTGGCGGCCATTCTATTCGTTACGGCGCCATTTAAAAATCTCCGTGCCTAGGTTTCCACACCAAAAAAAAAAAAAAAAAAGGAAAATCTAAAAATCATTTAAATGCCCAACTGTGATGAATTAAATGATTAAATAAAGTGTGAAGAGTCCATAAAAGAGAGCATTACTTATGAAAAGTATTGAAGAATTTAAGTGAATTATGAAATTATTAAAAGCGACAAATTTTGAAGGAGAAATTTTTCATATTTATAACAAGGGGGAAAATAATAAAAGTAAGCAACCTACGTATCCTAGAATGTCCTCTGCATTTTTCACTTCCCCACTTTCATATCCCTTCTCTGTCAACAGGACTAGGGTCGCCCTGTCTTAAGAAGGCAGGGACTAAATCAATTATTCTCAAGTCCCAGGCACAAACACTTTAAATAAAAGCAAACAAGCTTACCAGAATGTCTTTTATTGCAATTCTCATCACTTTTTCAGTCTCATTTATTTCTAGAGGTCTGGCAATTGCTTCTGTTCTCAGTTCCTGTGAGAAACAATGACATGAAGTTCCTTTTTAGAAGAGGAATTCTCGGGGCGCCTGGGTGGCGCAGTCGGTTAAGCGTCCGACTTCAGCCAGGTCACGATCTCGCGGTCCGGGAGTTCGAGCCCCGCGTCAGGCTCTGGGCTGATGGCTCAGAGCCTGGAGCCTGTTTCCAATTCTGTGTCTCCCTCTCTCTCTGCCCCTCCCCCGTTCATGCTCTGCCTCTCTCTGTCCCAAAAATAAATAAACGTTGAAAAAAAAAAAAATTTTAAAAAAAATAGAAGAGGAATTCTCAAAACCAATTCCTAGATGTAGATACAGCTTATGGACTAGTGCTCTAAAGTCCCATTACATTGTGGACCTCTGATGCAAAACCCCTTCTTCTAGCAATTCCTCCAAACGTTCTTCTAACCCTAATGCCAACCTGGCCTCCCTCCAGCTCCCTGGGCCTTCCTCAGTTACAGGCCCCACGTCCCCACAACGCCACAGACAAAACTCAGCCCACCTCTATCATCTTTACTCCCAAGTTTGCTTCTTTACCTATATTCATTCGTGGGAACCCCAAACAAGTGCAGCTCAACCTGCCGTCTGAACCCCCTGCCAGCCTCTAGGATCCTTCCTGTGATTAATTCCCTCTAAGTTGCCTGTCACCGACATCTGCAGCCAACGAGAGGAGTCACCTTGGTCCTGCCCCCTAGCATTAACCACTAACCAATCACGGGAGGCATCTGTGCCTATCATACCAGTACCGGGAAATTCTCTGAGCCGTGGGATTTTAACGTGGACGCAGTTCTGAGGTTTCTGCAGCACGTTCCCAAACTGTCTTGGGCTTCCTTCATTCCACAGTGCCTCTCATCTCCCCCACTGTGGAAAACTACAGACGGCAGGGACCATGACCTATTCAAGGACACAGAGCATGGTGCCTTGCCCGTGACTGATACTAGTCCTCGGTGAGTACATGAAAAACAAATACTGGACAGGGGATCCTCCTCAGACCACGACTGTATACAGAATTTGAGAAGTTCCATATTCATGGCTCCCATGGCAACAGTCCGGCCACTGATTATTTCAATTCATTAGAGGATGGTGCTGAAAGAGTCCCCAGTGGAATCCCGGTTCAAGTCTCACAATGAAGCCACAGCTCTGTGGCAATTAGCAAGTGACCAGCTCTCGTCTCTAGGTCTCTTAGAATCATGTGTAGACACACGTGCCCTCCTGCACTATAAAGAGAAAACACAGGCACCTGAGGGGCTCGGTCGGTTAAGCATCTATCTGACTTCGGCTCGGGTCATGATCTCACGGTCCGTGAGTTCGAGCCCCGCATCGGGCTCTGTGCTGATGGCTCGGAGCCTGGAGCCCGCTTCGGATCCTGTGTCTCCCGCTCTCTCTGCCCCTCCCCCACTCACGCTGTCTCTGTCTCTCTCATTCTCTCAAGGGTAGATGTTAAAAATTAAAAAGTAAATAAATAAAATAAAATAAATAAATAATAGAAAACAAAGAACCCAGAAAGCCTAGAGCTGCCTTGTTAACTGAATGAGCTATTAGACGGGAGCGGCCGTTGTGTTCTGCCAACTGCCCTTCACCGGGCGGCCACCACCAGGTTACCGTATCGAGAGCAGGGATGGTGAGCTGGTACCCAAGTACCCTGCTTCCAGACCACTCCTGGCGCAGAAATGAAAAGCAAGAGAAAAAACACTATCATACTTCATCAGTGATGCCAGAACATAGACCAGGAAGTGAGAGGCCACGGCTGACATACCAGACCAGAACGAGATGAATTAACCGCATTGAACTTAAAAACGTGAGATGTGAGCACGTGTGCTTCCAATGACATACGTCTTTACACGTAAGAGTTAAACAGCATCCATTTCTTCTTCAACCAGTGGCTCCCAAACTCTGCCGCACATTGGAATCACCCGGAGATCTTTAAAAGCTGGATGCCTGGCTCTTAGCCCCAGACATTCTGACTCACTGGTTTGGGGGACAACGTGGACATCAGGTGATTTAAAAGGACTATAGGAGCTCTGGAAGGGTTTTAGGAAGCACGCTCTTAAACAGCTCCTTACATGTAGTGGATGAAGCATTCTCCTTGATGGGCGCTGGCTGAAACAAGCATTGCAAATGAATTTTAACCATAACATCCACTTCAGCTGAGTGGTTGGGACTGCCTAGGTCATGGGCTCCCCAAACCTGCTGCACGTCAGAATCATCCGGAGACTTCTAACTTCCAATGCCTACGTCATACTCCAAACCAATGACATCAGAACAGAAGCTGGTATCCACGCACACGTGATTCTACCGGGAAGCAAGGTTTGGGAACCATGGGCTCAGAAGAGCACTATGTAGACAAGAATGCTGAGTTCCCCAGGATAAAGCACCATGATCAGCAAAGTCTGCTATGGGCACAAGGAGGAAAGTTCCAGCAACATGCTACATAACTGCTATTTGTGAAGTAGAAGCCACAGCTATTAAAAACAGACCAGTGGCCCTAGAAGCAAGAATGGCAGCTAACGCTGTGTATTACTTCCCAGCACGGGATCTCATTTAAGCAGGTACATTTATATGTATGTATATATGTGTGTGTGTGTGTGTGTGTGTGTGTAGATATATATGTATATATACACACTTAACGTTTACTCATTTTTGAGAGACAGAGAGAGAGAGCGCAAGCAAGGGTGGGGCAGAGAGAGAGGGAGACACAGAATCCGAAGCAGGCTCCAGGCTCTGAGCTGTCAGCACACAGCCTGACGCGGGGCTCAAACTCATGAACTGCGAGATCATGACCCGAGCCAAAGTCGGACACTCAACCGACTGAGCCACCCAGGAGCCCCAGTCAGGTATGGTTTAATGAAATCAGAAGGACCGGGAAAAGCAGAACTGGAAAGGAAACGCTGAAAAATGCTTCGTTGAGGAAGTATTCAAGCATCCGAATACTGCTTACCCTCAGCTCCACCTCCTTGCCCAGCAGGTCATACAGAGAGGCCCCTCTGGATGTGATCTCAGAAGCAAGCTGCCTGGCTGCTTTCAAGTCTGCAATCTGGAAGGAAAAATATCAAAAACGGAAACCTCGGTGATACGTTAACAGACATTCAGAATAACCAGTTTGTTAACATCGATTCCTGTCTCCCGTCAGGATACCTGACTACTGAACATGTTTTGCACGGGACACATGTTACACCCTGCAGAAGCGCACTCCCAGGACACGTGGGGCTCTCCGAAAATCCAAATGCCAAGTCAAATGTATTCCTCAACCAGGAAGTGTAGGAGGGTGAAAGGGACATGCTTCCTATTCCGACTCGGTCCCAACAGGGGACCCCGAAGGTAGCAGGGTGACCACAGGAGGGACAACCGGAGAGGCACACGTCCTACCGCAGAACCCTGGTGTCCCGCGTTCATCGCTCCCACCCCCCGAACTCCCGCCTCTGGACGGGCCGCACGGGGCCGCTAAGGCCCACGTGACGTAACGCGCCCACAGCCCTACAGCAGCGCCCGGCTCCCTCAAGGGTGGCAGCTGCTGCCGTGAAGATGACGGCCCGTGGTCTGAGCACAAGCTTCTTTCTTAGGGTTCACAGGTCACCCCCTCTTCCTTGCATCTGCGACGTTTTCCAAAGAGCCCCAATGTTTCCTTGCTCTGCTCCCTCTTGCTCTCTTGCAATTACATGTCACCCCCTCTTATTCCCAGACCACCAGCAACAAGGCTCCCTCTTCATTCACAGCTGAGGACTCTTTTCCCGCTTCTGCTTCCTTCAGCCCCAGCTGCACCCGCCTCACGGCAGCAAAGATCTGGTTTTCTCCGCGGGAGTCTCACCTCCCCCGCTTCCGGGCCTGGAGTACATCAGAGACTGGTCCCCCGAAGTCTTTCTAGTCACACTGCCTCCTGAGTTCTAGCCCTAACGCCATCTATGACCTGAGGCCCGACACCTCACACTGAACGTGTTCCAGACCAAACGCCCCACCCTTCCCACCAAGCCCGCTCCTTCCATGCTCCCCTCCGTTTGGGAAACCGGCAACTTGGTCGGTTCCGGTGCTCAGACCAAAGACTTTAGAGCTAGGAGGTCTGATACCGCACGGACTTGCCACATGTGGCCATTTTCAATGTTAAATTGTTTAAAATTAAATAAAATTTAGAAAAGAAAAAAATGAATAAAGAAGTAAATAAAAAAACTTAGAACCCACCCGGCTGTGCTAGCTACGCGTGGCTAGTGGCTGCCGTACTGTGCGGTGCGGATAAAGAACCCATCCATCATCACAGACAGTTCTACCGGACAGCGTGGCTGTAGGATCTTCCTTGCACTGTCTGTTTTCTCTCAACTCACATCCAAGCCCCCAAGATGTACGTTCAAAGAAGGTTCTAACTTCCGGTCACTTCTTTCCATGGAGGCGTCTCACTCCTGGTTAAAAACCTACGTGTGGGGGCGCCTGGGTGGCGCAGTCGGTTAAGCGTCCGACTTCAGCCAGGTCACGATCTCGCGGTCCGTGAGTTCGAGCCCCGCGTCAGGCTCTGGGCGGATGGCTCGGAGCCTGGAGCCTGTTTCCGATTCTGTGTCTCCCTCTCTCTCTGCCCCTCCCCCGTTCATGCTCTGTCTCTCTCTGTCCCAAAAATAAATAAACGTTGAAAAAAAAAATTTTTTTTAAAAACCTAGGTGTGGTTTCTCTGGCCTGACCACGGGCGACCGCCAAGGTTTTCCCTGGCAGGCCCCACGGGGAGAGCTGCGCCCACCGCGCACCAGAAGAGACTCCTCGCTGCAGGCTCTGAAGGGAGTGGCAGTCAAGGACTCCGGCCCCCTGACCCACCGGTTCCTACAAAATATCCGCCTTCCTAGCCCCAGGGCCTCCCCTCCCAGGTCTCCCATCCGCGGCCTTGGGCTGAGGTCCTCTCTGGTGCCTCCCAGGCTTCCCTGTTAGGGAGCCGGGGAGCAAACCCGAGGACACTCTCCCCAAAGACCCAGCACCCACCACTCTGCCACTCCTGGTCCTCCCCCACCTCAGGGCGAAAACTGCTGGAGCCTTTTGTTCAGAGCTCCCTCAGGACACACCCCTCGACTGGTGCGCCCTCTCCTGGGAGAAAAAGGAATGGCGTCGGGGTGGGGGCCGGGGGGACACTTCCTCTGCTTTTAGCCCCTTGCCCAAACCATGACAGTAAGTGACTCAGGACTTAACTTCCACTTCTGACTTGCTGCTTGAACCAAGACTCCGGTGCCTGGCAACTCAGCTCCCTCCTACCTCGGCTGAGCTCCTGACGTCACCCACTTGGTTCAAAGTCACTGTCATCTCTTGCTTTGTAACAGGTCCACCTCCACCCTCACCTCCCCCCTCAGTCTGATCTCACCCCAGCGGCCAGAGTGATGCTCTTAACACAGAATTTCAAATCCCTTCCCGTCCTCCTGCTGAAGATGGCACCTCTCCCATCTCCCTACTGAAGACACCTGCCCCGGCCCTCCCCGCCCCTGCCCTGCTTTACAGTTCCCCACACATCGGCCACCCGTGACCTGACATTCCTTCCGCTGTGTGGTTTAGTCTGACGCCCCTAACTGAGCCACAGGAAGAGCGGGCTTCCGTCCTCGATGTTCATGCCCGGATCCCCTGCGCCTGAACTGTGCCTGGCATAGAGCGGGCTTTCGATAAGGAGCTGGATTAATTTACCGCGGCTTCTGTCTGTATCCAAGTGCCGACGAGTGCAAAACTGGAAAACTGCTCTCAGTTAAGGCGTAAGGAAAGAAGTGGCGCCGGGAGTATCTGACAGGGTCCATTTCAGACTCTAAGAAATAAATACTCCGTCCCTCACCAGGAGCCTTTCGTGGTCCTCACCTTTGAGCCGAGATCAAACTTGAATTTGCCGACGTCCTCTTCTCCTATCTTCGAGCCCTCCAGCCCTTTGGTCTTCATGGCGTTATAAAGGACAGAGGTGATCTTGAGAAGTTCTCTCACTGCGTACCCATCTGCCTGATAAAGCTTCTTGGTATTGAGTTTTATATGTGCCTTGGTGGCCTATTTTCAGACAAAAGAAGGGTAACAGTTTAAGGCCCTTTCCACGAAAAATCTAAATCAAATCCTATGTAGGTAATTTGAAAATCTCTCTCCAGTAACCTGACTGTGTTAAGGGTCAAACTTTCAAGCGGCTCAAGCACTGCAAGCGGGTGTGTCAACGGACGCCATCTGGATGGAGAGCAATTTGGTAAGGGACAAGAAAATTACAAATGCACATTATCTTCGCCCCAACAATTCCAACCCTAAGGACTCATGCTAGAGACGCAGTCATGAAGAAAATGGTATGTACAGGTTATTCACGACAGCGCTGTTTCAGAGAGCCAAAGTTTCAAACGTCTGAATGCCTATCTGTGTATAAACCACATAAATCATGGTATACTCAGAAAAGCACTACTACTCAGCTATAAGAAAGAATGAGGAAGCTGTATTTGTATTTGGAAAGTTCTCCAAAATGTACCATTAAGAAAGCAAGATCCCAAACACCATGTGTGTGAAGGAAGGGCAAAGAATGTATAGTGTATTTGCTTACCTATGCATAAAGAAACTCTGGAAGATGCGACTGGGGACGGAACTGGGTCAACGGGCAGGGAAGATAAAAAGCCATTCTACTGTTTCACATTTTTAAAAAATGTTGAACCACGACATCTATTACCCATTCGGAACTAACGAAATAGAATTCTTAACAAACAATGAACTAAAAACAGAACCCCAAAACTCTGTGCTGGTGAAACGGCTACCGGAAACCTGCTAACGGGAGGCGGTCAGAAACCCGCAAGCGGCCCTAACGAGGACTCCTCTCCAGTGGGGTCAGTGTTATCACTCTGTCACAAAGCTGGGAACTAACCATGAACTGGGCGATTGCCTTAATGAAGAAAACTCGGTCTTGTTCAGTCTCCACATCTGAAGGGATGTCAGTGTGAGGTTCATACCTTTCACAGAAAGAAAAGACACAAGTTAATTAAGTGGAAAGTTAACACAAGAGAAAGCAGGAAGCTGAGGGGACCTGTGACAATTAGCTCTTGGAGTCCCCAGCTGAGGGGGCAAGGTTAAGAGAGACCTCAAAAGCAGCATAAAATGCTAAACACTCAAGGGAGTGAGTCCTCACCTAAGAACAGATTTATGGGATTCCAAAAATCAAGTCTGGGGCTCAGCATACAAACTTAAATCTGTCTCAGACCTGAAAGTGTAATTAACATAATCAGAACCATTACTCTAGCCGACAGTCCTTGACACAGGGCTAACGCGTGAGGTTGGGAAGCGCGGAGTTACAGGTGCCAATGACGACCCGCCAGGGGTCAGAAGCCAGCAGTCTCTTTCTAGGCAGCCTGCATGCTAAGAAGGGTTTTTACACTTTTCGAGGATTATCTATCACAAACAAAACACGTGTAAGAATTTGCAACAAAGATTTTATGTAGCCTGTGACAGCTAAAATAGTCACAATCCCCTTAGAAAAGTCTGCCAACCCTGAATCGTGGTAGATTTCTCACACAAGATGAAATTTAAACCTTGGTAATTTCTACTCCAGTACTCATCAAAGTGTGTGGAGAGACCATCACTCCCTGTGAAGTGAGAGCACGGAGATGCGCTTGGACCTGAGCGCAGTGCATGCTTCCGACTAAGAAATCTTCTTTTACCACTGCCTGGTATATTCCCTTCTACCACAGTGTTCTTGGTACTCCACTGATTTTTTTTTTTTTTTTAACATTTATTTATTTTTGAGAGACAGACAACAAGCAGGGGAGGGGTAGAGAGAGGTAGACACAGAATTGGAAGCAGGTTCCAGGCTCCTGCGTGTCCAGCACAGAGCTCCTATTTGTATGTTTGAACCACTTAAATATGTGAGATCATGACCTGAGCTGAAGTCAGACACTTGAACGACTGAGCCACCCAGGCGCCGCTATACTCCCCTGATTTTTAACAGGTTACAAAGGAGTCTGTCAAACTCACGATTTATTGAATTCTTGGGGCGCCCGGGTGGCTCAGTTGGTTAAGTGTCCAACTTCGGCTCAGGTCATGATCTCACAGTTCGTGGGTTCGAGCCCCGCATTGGGCTCCACGCAGACAGCTAGCCTGGAGCCTGCTTTGTATTCTGTCTGTCTCTCTCCCTCTCTTTCTCTCTCAAAAATAAATAAACGTTAAGAAAAATTTTTTTAATTTATTGAATTCTTCCTTTTGCTTTACAACGGTATCCTATTCTTGGTAGCTATGGAATATGGTATTCATTCTTAGACCTCAATAAAAGTTCTAACCGTTTCACCAGCCAAAGAAGCACTTCAGACACAAGTCCAAAATTTGGTGTGCGGAAATTTTCCATAGAGATATGTCGAGGGTATCCCAAGGCTCTCATCATCTCTGTGAAATCTGTCCAAAGATAAAACAATTCAGTCAGTTCCCCATCAAAGACCAACCACTTATTAACTTCGACATTTCCCTTGCTTTCCCTGGTTATTCCCAACATAGTGACAGTTTGGGGGACTATTTATCAACTCTCTAAGAGGGAAAGTAAAAAGGAGATGAAAGTTGAAATACCTCCTCTGCTTCCTGAAAAACATTTAAGTTCAACGGGAGGGCAAAGTAAAAGCTTTACATTATAACAGAGTTTAGGGACCGGCTGTGAATCTGTCTTTGATAGGTCATTTCTCTTGGATATCTTTCTCTGTACTATTCAAAATGAGAATTACTTGTGGGGCAGGGTTCCCTCCCTAAGGAGAAAAAAAAAAAAACCAAAACCTCAAGGCAACCTGGCTATACACGTACCACACGTACGTGACAACATCCGTCACGACCTTGTAACAGGAGACCCCCTAGTTCAGACTACGTGTTTGTGTCTTACCATATATGGGAGACAAAGAAGTAAAAAATAGATTTAAAAAACTACACCACGAGGCACTGGGGGCTCAGTTCTTCGGGTACGAACCCAACTGAGCAGTGCCGGCAAGAATAAAGTTGCTTCCCGGAAAGAAAAGCCTCAGTGTCACGACTCTGCCCGAGGATCCCGCTGCACCTGGCTTTATACAAGGTCATAAGGAAAAAATACATTACATGTGAACAGTGTTTATGTTTAGAGGTGATGGTGGTCAGGGAGAAGTTCACCTGAGTTATTGTGGAGTTGTCTTTTTTATCTTTGTTTAGTGAGCATATAGGACTAAGGTCCTATATAACCCAAATTTTAAAGGTTAATTGCATATTTAAAGAAATCTTAAAGAGACTGGTGGAACTATACAGCAATACTTAGATTTTTTTTTTTTATACACCAGAACAAGAAACAACACTACTAATACTTTTCGAAACCGGAGGTGGTGGTCACTAAGCTTTGAGCAGAAGAAGCAAATGAACACAACAAACGTTTTTTGCGTTTCCACAACGTGCCAAGGTCTATATTCGGTGCGCTTCTGGCTACAGAATGCCTGTCCTCGCCCTTCCTGAAGGTTCAAAATATCTCAGCGACGTTCACAAATAAACTTCCTGGGCACCGGAGGTTAGGTTGGTTGTCAGCAGGCAACAGAAGAGAAGGTACAAGCAAAGGAAAGAGCAAAGGCACAGAGGGCCTCTGTCACTGTTTTCTGGGAAATGTGAACAGAGTGGGGCTAAATCATGTGGCAGTCTTCCCACCACACAGCCAGGAACTGCCTAAATCCGTCCTCCTATTGAGTTGTCAGGTTCGGTTAATTCCGCAAAATGGGGACCATTTGAGACTCTTACCGTAAATCGCACACAGCTTGCCGTTCATTAAGGGCAAAATGTTCAGAAATTCCCTTCTTATACCTTCCCCCGCAACACAACTCCATTGAGCGTCCCCTAGCAGAACGCTGGCCTCGGCCTCCTCTAACTGTGGGGGGGCAGAAACCGGTCTCTACAACGCACAGTCCCCCCAGACCCCGCAAATCCCAGAGGTCGTAATTCACACCATGGTGCTACCAGGGGTGTCAATGAAACGCGATGCCCGCAGTCACCACTGAAAGGAGTAAGCGTTAATGGTGACATTTGCAGCAATTCGGTTGGAAAACTGGCAGCAGAGACTCACCCCAGACCACCCCACCTTGGCAATCACCGGCTCCACCCACGCAGGTGGAGCCAGTCTGCTCGACCGCTTCAGATTCAGAAAACGACGGTGCATAAAAGGCAAGAGAATCCGATTCACACAGTGCCAAGTCCGGATCGTTGGTTCCACCCGCTTCTAGCTGCGTGACCTAAAGCAAGCAACTTTACCTCTCTGTGGCTCAAAGTATTTCATCCCGATTACACTACCGACCTCACTGCCAAAGCGAGGACTAAAATACCGTATTGAATGTAAAACGCCTGGTGTGTAACAGGTGCTCCAAAGAATGAGTAACGAATTCTCTTATCCGGATGCCACTTCCCCACCCTTCCAGCAAAGGCGTCTGGGCTCCCCTCTCCTCACCAGCTCTGTTAGGAAGCACGCAGGCTTTGGAAGTTAGACAACCTGAATTCAAACTCCAGCGCCAGCTCTCACCGCCTGTGTCCTCTGACCGAGTTACCTGACCTGGCTGCCCGTTTCCTCCTCTCTAAATACAGGAGCACAGGGGCGCCTGGGTGGCGCGGTCGGTTGAGCGTCCGACTTCAGCCGGGTCACGATCTCGCGGTCCGTGAGTTCGAGCCCCGCGTCAGGCTCTGGGCTGATGGCTCAGAGCCTGGAGCCTGTTTCCGATTCTGTGTCTCCCTCTCTCTCTGCCCCTCCCCCGCTCATGCTCTGTCTCTCTCTGTCCCAAAAATAAATAAACGTTGAAAAAAAAAAACAAAAATTAAAAAAAAAAAAATACAGGAGCACAGAGTAGCTCCGAGGAGTAAATGAAACGATGCACACGCACAACAGGAACTACCTGGCAGATCGTAAAAATTCGATATCAGCCGCAACTATTATCAATCACCAGTCCCCTCCTCGGTTTTCTGAGCTCTTAAGCTAACCCCACTCAAAAACGTCTCATCGTCTTCCAATACGGCAGCGAGCAGCCCCGTGTGGCAATACAAGTCCTATGAAATTAGATACAATTAACCCCGGCTCCTCAGCCGCACTAGCCACACGCGGGCACACACACAACCCCCCGCCATCGCAGAGACAAGGCTGGGGCGCCCAGCCTGGAAGTGGGGGCTGGGGGGCGGCAGCGGGCAGGGACACCCCTGAGCCGCACAGGCTCGAGAGGGGGTTCTGGCCGTGCAAGCCTCGGACCGAGGACACGCAGGTGACAGCGGGCAGGTATGCCTTACTGCGGAGGTCGCGGAAAGACATGGCGCTCTGATCCCCAGCAGCCTGGAGTCTGGGTCGCTCGCCCTCAGCGCTCACGGGTTTCTATGGCAACACACCCAGCCCTCAACGGCGCGCGGCCGGGGCCAAACAAGACTGGGCCGGAAGGGGCCCGGTCGCGCGCGTGCGCATGCGCAAGCGAGAGGGCGCTGGGCCGGGTGCGTCTGACGACGCTGAGGGATTCCGGTCGCGGCTAGGGGCTGCGAGTGTGCAGCATTTGCGTACCCTTCACACACGTTGCAAACAAGCATGTTGCCCTGGCGGACACATTCTGATCACCTACTACGTGCCTGACACTGTGCTAGGCGCTCTACGTACTGCTTCACATTTCTTCCTCAACTCCCCTAGACAGAATGTACGGTAGTGTTACGAAGCCGGGTCTCCCTCCTGGGTCACGTGCCCAGCACATTTCTCTCTGCCACGGGTAAACTTGCTGGCTTCACCGGCGACCGAAGGCCCAGAGAAGCGGCAACAGCATGAAGGGGCGAGGCCCGGGATGTAGCTGAGCGAAAACCCAGGCTGACCACCAGGCGGCGACAGGCGGCTCTGGCGCGACCGCGCCTGCGCAGCTGGCTCGGGCTTCACAACAGGCCGGAAATCGGCCCCGGTCCTTGCAGGCCGGGGATTGTCCTGGCAACCGTGGCTTTTGGGGCGTGGGTGTGGGCGTGAGCCCGTGGAGGGAGTGTGGGGCTGCTAGGTGAGGGATGCGCGTGACACGTGGCCTGGCCGCTGGGAGATCCCGTGGGAGTCCTCCCTGCCTGGCTGCCAAGGTGGGAGGCAGGCGACCGAGAGGGGCTGGGGGCGTGAATGAAGTGTGCCGAGTCCGGAAGGGCGGGCCAAGAGGAGGTAGTGCCACCCTCTGGCCACCCTCCTCCCTGTTGGTGTGGGCGAAGGAACCGACGCACAAAGGCTCGACCTGAAAGAGAGTCCCGAAATAGAGCCCACACACCTGGTCGCGCTTCCGTGGAGAGTTTTGTTTTTCCCTAAACGTAAAGCTTAAAATCTATAGTTTTCTAGAAGAAAACTTAGGGGAAACGTGTTGTGACTGTTTTGAGCAAGATCTCTTAGATACACCAGAAGTATGAGCCCTTTAAAAAAAAAAAAAGTTTAGAAAAAAATACATTGGACTGCAGCAAAATTTAAAACTGCTCTTCAAGACACTTTTAAGAAAATGAAAAGATAGCCCACAGTCTAGAAAAAAATATCCACGAAACACACGCGATAGGAAGATTTGTATCCAGAATACATAATGAACTCTCAAAATCAGTAAGGAAGCACATCAGTTAGAAAGCAGACAAAAAGGGGGCGCCTGGGTGGCTCAGTCTGTTGAGTCTCCGATTTAGGCTCAGGTCATGACACGTGGTTGAGGAGTTCAAAAACCCTGACAGTGCGACGCTTTCAAAGAATGTGGAGCAACTTGAACTTCTGTATATTATTGGTGAGAATCTAAAACAGTGCAGCCACTTTACAAAACCGGTAATTTTTTATAAAATTAAATATATATTTAACATATGGCTGGGGCGCCTGGGTGGTTCAGTCGGTTAGGCCGCCAACTTTGGCT